TGCAATCCATCAATTCTCTCAATGAACTAATAATTGTAAATTCAAAGAATTAAATGGCATAATACTAACATATCAATAAAGTCCTACGAAATGAATACACGATATATGCGTGAATCATAAGCATATCAATACATTTGCAAACAAACCAAACAAACTAAATAGAATATTGAATGGGGAAAAAAATTGCATACCTTAATGTCATTTTCTTTTCACTCAACCGTGTCCTAGCCTATAGCCTGCCTTCTTTTTTTTTAGGACAGCTGTTTGGCTCTTACTACTTTGTTAATGAGGGATAACTCTATCATGTTTTCCACGGAGCCTCAAATTCGACTTCTCGCAAGCAAAATTGAAATAACGAATTTTGCAAGTAGTAGCCCAAAATTGTTTGCCAATGTGTGTGCCCTTAATTTCCCTCACCAATCAGAAATAACTGTTCAATAGATTCTCTCAATTAATCTTGTCTATCATCATATTTCACTAGCCTAATATATGCTGCAATTAGCTTCCTTTGAAAAACCAATTATTTGACGTGCGCCCCTTTTGAACTGTTACGGTCGGAGTTCTATCCTTCCCATGTCACGGTACCGGTAAAATGACCCGGTCAAATGCTACTGAAATAACATAACCCTTTCATGTGGATGAAATAAAGAAATAATCGGTACATTTTCTCAAGGCTTTTCTGGCTTGGCTATGTTAACTTCAAAGCACAATTTATTTAACCTTAAGTTTCAATAAGTCTTCAAAATTCGACACATCATAGACTTCCTGCAAAAAAAGTTTCATTGTGTTGTTATTATTGTTATTTATTTTGAATTAAACCAATTTTGATATATCATTTTTATTTAAGTTAAAATTTATTTAATAAATCACATCGAGCTCATATTTATTACCCTCATATTGTTGATTCGTGATAAAGGCAACTTTGATAACCATTTTTTTCCCCCCAGTGACGATAATGGAGCCAGCTTTAATTATTATCTCCTTTAAACATGACTGAGACATCCACACAAGTCTCTTTCACCCACTTTAATGGCCTTATACGTTTGTTCACTGGTCCATAGGCATTAACATAAATAATAAATTAATTTTCAAATTTGTTCATGCTTTGTATGTTTCTATGATCTTTACTAAAATAATTTTTAAATTGAGCAAATGTATATTTTGTGGATATAAAACTAATTATATTGCGCACAAGAATACGTTTATTATCGCTATTTTGTACAATGAATGTTTAATGTTGGTAATTCACTGTATGAATTCCTCTTATTTGTCTATCAACATGTTAAATTAGATAATTGATCTAATTTTTTATAAAACAAAATTGTGTATTTAAAACTGTTTTGTGGAGAAATTGTGTATCTGGTATATCAAACAGTTCTTCAGCTTTACTTTCCATTTCATACTCTTTCCATTTTATGTTTAACTTGTGTTCCATTATACCTATCGACATAGCGATGAAGATACATCTCAGCTTCCACTATTTCTATTCTTATGATTTGAAACCAATTCTTCACTTTCTTTTATTTAGACAATTCCTTCCTTGTGTAACTCTTCCACGGTACTGCGAGATATCACCTGCAATGACAAGTCGTCAAGGCAATTAATTTGATTAATTGTACTGAATTTATGAATATTTTTATCTGCTTTAATTAGATGAATTTTATTGAACCTAAATCTCATTTTTCTGAATTTAATATTCAATAAGTCCGATTCGACTTCTTTAAAATATTTTTATAATCGTACAAGTCTTTCTCCGGCACGAAATCTAAATTCATTTAAAAGATCACTAGACCAGTCTTGTAGTTTTCTTGCAATAAATTTGTATGTATATTGATTAAAAAATTTCCTCTAATTTTTCTACTAGTAGGAAGACACATTAAAGGAGACTGGTGCTTCCTTCTTGTAGTTTTTGTATCAAGCAAATTATGTTCCATTTACATACTTTCATAATAAAAATTGTTTCGTCTTTTTAGTGTGGTATGCACTTTTTAATTTATAAAATTATTGTGTAATGTACCTTCTTATTACAAAATAATGAACATCTTTTATTAAATAACTTTTGCACCATGACAGGTTATTGTTGTTTGGTAACAAACTTAAATTTTAAATACCCTTGAGATTTCATTACATTTGCACAATGTTTACATTGTGAATATTTTCACACTCCATTTCACTGATAGACTTAATTTTGTACAAATATTGCATGTTTCTATAAAGTAATGCGAGTAATGTAGAATAGTGCCTATATTATAACACAGCGGCACGTTTCCTTCAATATGATCGCCATTTAAACACCTAATTACATTTAAATCCCTTAACTATATGCAACAGGATCTCCTGAAATACTTTCTAATTTTACACAAGTCTGTTTCATGAAATTCGGAAAAGAGCAAAAGCAAAAATAGACTTATACGATGAAATCATTGCATTCTTATCTATTAGAGTTTGGCGTTTCATACACATCTGTAGTAAAAAAAAAAAAAAAAAAAAAAAACAAATAGGCTAGTCCACACCCTTTACTTTTCTAGCTGTTTGGCTACAAATCTATAGATCTGATATGATACGTTCATGTTGTATCAATCACAAAGGTGATAATATATTACTCATTTCTGGATTTATTTGCAGTAAAATATTTCACATTCTAGTTTTCCACTGCAGATTCTTTTTTATCGGAGTGGAAAAGCATTCTAAATTTCATTCCCCAATAATTCCATGTCTTTTAAGTCATAAATATCATTTATTTCATCGAACCGCAATGCTTCTGGTCTTCTTTTGTTGAATACTTCTATTTAAAAACAACAGCCTTTGCGCTCTCTCTCTCTCTCTCTCTCTCTCTCTCTCTCTCTCTCTCTCTCTCTCTCTCTCTCTCTCTATATATATATATATATATATATATATATATATATATATATAATAGCGAAATTTATTTAGATCCATTATCTGTGAAATTTGTTGTAAGAATATCCAGGTTTATAACCCATGTAAACCATATTAATATTCTTCCCACCCTTGGATTAGGTGCACTGATGGAAACGTTTGTACTATTTTTGTGCTTAGAAGCTAAAATGGCAATTTTCTTGTTTGTACCAATCTTTATCTGAACTCTTTAAATAAAGTGCGATGTCCGACAAAAGTACAAATAAGCACATTTTGTGATCGATCCGGACAAATAAAGATGCAATACCATATTGTTCATTGTAGAGGTTCTACAGATCTGAAAGATTCAATTTGATGCTAAATTCATATACTGGATACACTGCAAAATATCAAGTTACATACTTTCGGGGATTGAAGCACACTCCTGCATAGCATTCTTTCAATTTAACTATTCCATCAATAACCCCAGTGTTAAACGTAGCTTACAATTGTTAATACATCGCAGAGTGAACTAACTTCGTGAATAATTACAGTTTGTTTTAAGTTACTATTTCAGTGAAGATTAATGTAATACATTAAGTAGAATTATGAACTTATGACCCGTTCTCTCGAGAATCCGCTGAACTTTGACAGGGGAGAATGAACTTTAATAAACTAACACTGATAGCCTCTAAATACTCGAATTAAGCACTATCTTTCTGTTTTAGTGTAAATATGCACGTTCTGGAGCCTATAGAAGACACGAAAGCATAGATGATTAGTTATAAATAGCCCAGCTGTTATTAGCATATATTAATCACATAAAAGCCGATTATATAGTGTCAGATAAATAATCGTTTAATTAGCACAAGACTTTCTCAACAAAACATTGTCTATATGTTTCCGTTCAGGTGTTCTCCAAAAACAAAAACAAAGCACTCCTCTAACCTTCCTTCCCTTATTATTTGTTCGTTCTTATTTTCCTTTTCATCTTTGTTAGTTATTTAGTTCTCGATTTCTCCGTTTCCCCTTTTCTTCATTTACTTAGGCATCCATGCATTCTCTATTCTTGAATACTAAATATAACCAAATTCTGTAAATTGGTATTTTTTTTTAGAAATTTGTTTTAAAACTTCGTCTTTAGTAGCAACGGCTATATTTAATGCCAGATAGGCATCGTTTAAAAAAGTACAGGTCATTCATGTCAAATTTTGTTCAGCGATTTTTGATTAATGATTTAAATGATGTTCTATTTTTGTGTTATACTATTGGCAATATTTATTGGCAAACTGACAACATTTGTAAAAAAAATTTGAAAGCCCTAATGGCGTAAGGTTTTCCTTCAAATTTTTGCTTGCAATTTTTAAGTAGCAGTTTCAAGTATTTCTTCGTTTAGCAACGGTAGGCATATCTGATGGCTAATTGGCATCATTTGCATAAAATTTAAAGCACTCTATCCCAGGATGCTACACGTCAAACTTGGTCAAATCTATTCAAACTTTTTTTTTGAGAAGATTTCATGAAAAATAATTTCCAGAGTTTTTAGTAGTATATTTAATGGCCGATCAGCACCATTTATATCAACTTGGAAGTTATGCTAGCCAGGTTTTGTAACATTATGTAGCATTCTGTTGAAAAGTTTCTTCTGTATTATTATTTATGTTATTAATAAATGTGGTACCATGTGATGGCGCCACCTATAATGACATACATGCCAGGATGTTAAGTATCGTTTGGTAATGGCAGCTATATTGGTAAACAGATTTACCATCACTCAAGAATACTCGAGAAACCTTACCAGGGTGCTTTCTACCAAATTTGTTAAATTTTGATGAACAGGTTGTTTAACGGTTTATCTATTTTCATGAACAACGGTCATATTGAGTAGTGGATTGGCATCATGCTTATGTGATGTGATTATGATTTTTAACGTAGCTTTAACACTTTTCCAGTCATATCGCTACGATGTCTGCAGTGTTACAGTTTATAGTGATATCTAGCACTGGGGCATCATGCCGCAGACATGTAGCATGATGTCCCACTCAGTCACATTATCCTGACCTATGCCGACCAGTTCTAACATTAACCTCTTAATGCTGAGCGTCAAGAGAGGCAGCTGTTAGTATCATTTTAAGTCTTTGGCATGACTCGACCGGGGATAGAACCCTCGACCTCCAGCATCTGAGACGGACGCTCTAACCACTAGGCCACCGGAGCGGTCATCATGCTTATGTTTATTTTAGATTCGGTTCAGCAGTATATGAAGAAATTCATTTTTCAATAATAATTTTTTTTAAAGTAATAGGGCCAAATCTGATCGCAAATCAATATAATTTGAAAACCATAGTACCTTTCATTATGCATTTATCACAGACAAAATCAGTTCAACAGCTCAATAAGTTGGTTAACTGTTTTCTATTTTACTTCACATCAGCGATATTTTAGAGTACATCAGCATCACATGTACAAACTAAAGATTTCATGCCAGAATACTAAAATGCTAGAATATTTTAAAATGTATTCAGAGACTTCTGAAAATCTGTACTCAAGCTTTCTATCCTTAATAATCCTGCGTGATTTGTACAAATTGCCAAATGTCTTGAACACAATTTGTTAAATCTGGTCCGTTTAGTAGCTAAAGTAAAACAATTGAAATATTTTCTATTTTTAGTAATGGTGATAATACCTGATTGTGGAAATGCATCATTTGCTCGAGGATAAAATGAACTATTTAAGGACAGCTATCTATATTTAGGCCAAACGTCCAGAATTAATTTACCTAAATTTGTAAAGGATGCCACATCAGTGAATATTTGTCACAGTAGTAAGATGAAAACACAAACCTGCATATCCCCTCAATATTCTTTTCAAATTATTTTCAGACTTTTTGGCTGTAGAACATTTAGGATTCAATTCACAATACTGTAAGACTTTTGAATTTTCACTTTATTCTAGGCAAACATTATTATTTTTTGTTTATTTTTCCTAACTATTGTTCGTTTTGCTCTTTTATATTCAGTAGTTTAATACAATGGAGTCGTGGCAGATATTGAAGGTCGATCTGAATTTCTTATATACACACACATACACATACAAACACAAGTTTTTAAATTTGAATGACATTTCGAAATTTCATCATCCATGATAAAGATTTTAATTTCACACGTCTGAGAAATCTTTTGTGAAACTAAGCAAGCATGCACAAAATCATATAATATAGAACATCTTTGTTTCAAGTCCTACCCAGGGAGGATTGTGACAAGGAAACGTTGCTCGAGATTGCAAGATATTAGGATTTGTCAGACATGAAAGCAACTTTAACAAAACTGGTGATGAATATTTTCATCCCGTATTTGGCGGCGAAGGAAATTATGGAACTGGAAAAAAAAACCTCATCTTTAGACAGAAAAAAAGTTAACACTTCATTTTTTTACGAAGTTTAATACCAAAGAGTTGTAACAATATCATAAATTATCGGCTAGTACCCATTATTCAGAAAAAAAGACGTTAATTTTTCTCCACTTTTAATGCCTGGAGAGCATTTTACTTTAAAATTCATAAGTTTATTATTGGCACATCTTATGATATCTTCAATTCATTGTCAGTATATAAGTGTTGATTATGATGTGGCTAAGGACTATATCTTGAATGGCCACGAGTTTGTACCCGTGCATCTAAAGAAATTTTAAAGAATTCTAGACAAGAAACTGGACAAACCTATGTTGAATTTGCAAATAGAGAAGATCAACTATTTTATAAGTGTTGTTCAGCCAATAAGATTGAAAAAGATTGCGACAAACTCAGCTCAGATTGATTGAAAAATCCAGAACTACATCCAGTGATGTCAAGACCCATCACCTGTCTCGCACGAGTACTTCAAAATCTCAGTCTAGCAAAACTTTTAGATATCAAACATCTTTTAAGACTGATGAGAAATATGTATCTCTTTTTGCAGAGTGAAAATATAAACGCACATTTCTAATTGGTACAGGTTGAACAATAAGCAACAAAATGAGATTGTGATAATCCAAGTGGTATCATTTAAGAGTTCATGGTCATGTAGTGACAACAATACAATGGTTTGGATAAAATAAAACCCAACCGGAATCTATTTTGGGGAACTGTAAAAAATTCATGCCGAAAGATTTTACGTCACTTACTGGCGACTGCCGAGCGTATCCATATTAAAATATTAAGGGACTGCTGTGAATCTTGTCAAATGGTAGAGGGACTGCTGTGGATCTTGTCAAATGGTAGATGGATTGCTGTGGATCTTGTCAACTAGTAGAGGGACTGCTGTGGATCTGTCAAATGGTAGAAAAACAGAAACAGGAGATACTAAAAACTCATCTACAACCTATTTCTGCACTTGAGTTACCATTTAGCAGAAAAAATAGTGTATTAGTCCCTTTCCCAAGACAAGATTAAGCAATATAATGTGTGCATCCATAAGATTTACAGTTGCAAATCCTTTCAGAAGTATTAAACTAAAACCATAGTAAAAGTTTTAATAAGTTCTCTTTTTTAAATACTTATTGGCATTTCCAAATCTGTCCAAGATCAAGGTTCAAATTTCTAGCCTAGAATTTTCAAAAAAGTTATGCATGAAAATCCGCTGCCTATCACCTTGAAAGTCAAAGGGTTTTGGAAAGATTTCATCTTTGAAAAATATCCGTCATATTGCTTTGAAACAGGAAAAAATCAGGACCAGTGTTAACTTGCTGGACGGATCAGTTCAATAATCATTAGGTTTCAGTTCTTTTAATCTAGTTTTTGGATATACTGTCTGTGGACCATTTAAGTTATTAAAAGCAACAGTTCTTTCAAATGTACAATAAAAGAATATTATTCTTGCCAATCTCTTGGATTTCAATTACAAGTTGTCAAGGCTTGTGAAGTAGCTCAGTAAAATTAAGGTAGGACAGAATGCACAGGAATGGAGTTTTCAGCCTGATAATAATGTACTGTCTCCCATGCCCATACAAGGAGAATGTGACCGGGTTTGACACAGTGCTATGTCTACAGTATGATGCCTCATTGCTATACCTCAATTTAAGCTGCAACGCCATAGACATAGCAACCAACACAAATAAAATCTATCATGATGCAGAGATTGTATATTTTACATCTGTAGGATTGCATCCTACAGGATGAATTCTCTAATGTTTCAAAAAAAATAAAAGAAATTAAATATCTGCTAGAGAATTATCATACAGAACCAGGTAAAAGTAAAGAGTTTACCATTACCCCTCCCTTTACTATCGTTATTAAAATGTGTGAAAATGGATTTTTAACATAATATTTCGGCTACGATGACTGCAATGACCATTTATTGTGATGTTCAGCATGTCCCAAACAAGTCACATTATCTTGACATCAGACCAACCAGTCCTAGGCAGCTGTTAAGAGGTCTTTGGAATGACTTTGCCATGGTTTTAACCTGCAACTCCTGCATTCAAAAAACTCAACCATTTATGCTACCCATGTGCTCCATCAAATTCAAAATGAAAAAGTTTGATGCTGCAGAAATACAATACTAACATCAGACACATCAGAGGAAAAAAATCTTATTGCCCATCTTTTATATCAGTACAATATTGCTTTCATTTTGTATAATTTAGAAGAGACAAACGTATTACTATACTATCATAGGTTTACTTGATTAAGATGTAAAACAAGCTAAATTGTATACTTCATTTTCTTGACAAATGGAGGTCTTATGTGTATCTGAATTGTGTTCTTTATTTTTGTCCACAAGTGGTATTAATGTTTGTGACAAATCTGCAGGTAGAAAAGATGTTCCAAGTGTAACCTAATTCACAAACTTTGAATCAGCCTGTTAAAATTTTATGGAACTTTTTTTCATTAAATGTTATTTTTTCCAGAATATTCTTTTCTACCCATAGGTCAGGTGAGTCTGTTTATAAAAACGGGATTCAGTACACATTGATTATTCGTTTTAAGATTAGTATATTGAATTATTTCAAGTGTTCAGATAAAATTTAAATTGTACATTGGAATGTGCATTGTACACACTGAATTCTTGAAATGAAACACTGAAATGGGATTCATTCAAAGTCATTTTGAATTATATTACATCAAGACATTCAGGATTAATAGAATTCATTCTTGGACACTGTTGTGGAATATTTCAGTGTGCGATTTGGATATTTAATGTAGCTCTATAATTTTCTACCTCCGAGGCATCATGCTGCAGTCATGTTTCAACCAGTCACATTATCCTGACACCATACCAACCAGTCCTAACATTTAACTCTCTATTCTATGCTGAGCACATTCTGAGGCAGGTGTTAGTACCATCTTTTACGTCTGTTATGACTTGGCTGGAGTTGTGATGTGATTATGATTTTAACGTAGCTTTAACAAATTTTCAATCATATTGCTATGATGTCTGCAGTGTGGCAGTTTATAGTGATGTCTAGCACCGGGGCATTATGCCACAGACATGTAGTATCATGTCCCGACCATTCACATAATTATCTTGACACCAGGCCGACCAGTCCTAACACTAACTTCTTAATGCTGACATCGAGGCAGCTGTTTGTACCATTTTCTATAAATCTTTGGCATGACTCTACCGAGAATCGAACCCACGACCTCCCCCCATCCAAAGCGGATGCTTTATTCACTAGGCTACCGGAGCGGTGTCTTGGCTGGGATTTGAACCTGCAACCTCCAAACATTTCGGATAATTTGGAATATAATTTACAATAAAGTCTCTCTTGAAATTTCACTTCATATTATAGGCAAATAAATTTGTCAATTTTACTGAACTAATTAGTTTTGCTTCTTTTCTATTACATAGGCAATAAAGTTTCCAGTTGGCTGACCTACCCCATTTCTCATTGCACTATTTTCCAACATGATAAAAAAGAAAAAAATCCCTATATGGATTTGTGCAACTAAGCCATTTATGCCCTGTACTTTTAAGCAAAACTAATAATTATAATGCATATATGTATGAATGTATGTATGTTTAAGAAGATAATATTAATAGCAGAACTGCCAACCCTGACAAGACCACCTCAATAAGGCACCTGATATTTTCCGCAAGTTTGACCAATTCTGACTAAGGTGCAACAAATCATCATAAACCGCTACTGTAAAGCCAGAAAATGTATTTAGAAGTTTGATCTTCAAAACAGAATTGACAGTAAACAATGTTCAACTTAAAAGTATATGTAGATGTCATTTATTAAT